GCCCTTTTTCTCACTCCTATTTCCTCTTCTAGTTCTATATTTTATTCCGCTTTCTCATGTCTAATGTGCACTGCAAATAATAAATAACTATTTAAGATTTAAATTTTGTTCATGATTATATTTTGTACATTTCTTAATTAAAATATAATTTGTATTTATTATTTTTATTTATTTATTAATTTTTTGGTACTAAGTTTATTTTTGTTTAATTATGGTTATATATTTAAGTTTATATGGTAATTTTAAGTTGATAATTTAATGTCAAATACATACTATTTTTTTTGGGCTATTGCCCGTAACGTTAATAATAATAAAATAATCTCAAAACAAAAAATTTAAATTTAGCATACTTGATGACAAAATTCAACAACTGATCGATCACCTTCAATGAAATGCCTATAAAACTCAGCATCTTTTTGTAGTTGTCCAGATGTAATTAAACGAAGATAAACAACTACATAATCAGAATAACCTTGCATGTTAAATGTATCATAAAGTTTTTCATGTTGACCTTCACCAATCATGTTTACAACTTCCATAAACTAGAAATACAATAAAATCAATAACATATTAATAATTGGAGTTCAAAATATTTAATACATAGTCAATTAATAATTAGCAGGAATTTACAAGTTTTATATTTAAAAAAATAATAAGATTTTTTTTTATAAGGAATAAAATGATAATATGGAAAAGAAAAATTGATCTCATAAAAAGAAAATAATGTTGTAAAATATAGAAGTTGAAAAATTCAAGTATTTAAAAATAAATGTTACTGTATCATGGAAATCTTCAAGGGTGAACTGTGTAAAACCACAAGAAATAAGTTCATCTTTACTTTTCAAAGCTCTTTCTTTAAAATGTTTATATTCTTCTGTATGATCTATTAAATATTCAAAATATGCAAATGCAAAAGATCTAAAAAAACAATTTCCATCAGGTCTGGCACGTCGCATACATGTATACTTTTTATTTAAATCTTGAACTTTTGTAAGATATACAGGATCATTAACATATTCTGATTCTAATGAAGTTAATTCTTCTTTTTGGCCAATTAGTAAAATTGAGTCCGAGATCTAAAATTGATAAAATAATAAATTACAATATAAGTTTTATAATTTGATTATTAATAATTCTACCTTTTAACTGATCATAAAATATAATTTAAAAACTGCATTAAATATTTTAAAAGTAAGTAAATTTTTCAGTAAATTGTATCATTGAAATAGATATTAAAATATAGTTTATTTAGCCTAATATTATTATTATTATTATTCTATTTTTATTTGATGTTCTCTCCTTAATGATATACTTGTAAAAATAGGATAGAAAACCCTATATACTCAGTATCGGACCTACATACCCAGGTAAGACACATTCTTGATTGAACTAAATATTGCTTATAATTACCTCTTTTTCAATTTCTCTATGTTGCTGAATAATTAATTCATCTTGCTCTAATCCTAAAAATATAAATAAATAATTAAAAAACTTATTGTGAATAATAAAAATTTAAGCAAAACAAAAATTAATGACGAATTTAAGTTTTTCTTTTTTTATTTAAGGTCTTTATTTTGAGATTATTGAGCAACAAATGGTAGAATTTAGTTTTTATAAACAGAACTAACTAAAAACGACTATAAATTAATCATCTATTAATAAAACAG